AGACTGGTTGATTACACTGGGATTTATCAGTAGGGGCATTGAGTACCAAAGCAAAGAAGTTCAGCTCAGACCTTTGAGTATAGAAGTTGGGGCATCATATTGAGGTTGGTGAGGCCTCTTCTGGAGAACTGTGCCCAGTTCTCATTGCCCTGTTATACGGAGGGATATCATTAAGCTGGAGAGGGTTCAGAAAAAAATTTAATAGGACGTTGCTAGGAATGGAAGTTTAGAGGTATAAGGAGACAATGGATAGGCTGGGACTTATTCACTAGAACGTAGGAGTTTGAGGAATGACCTTATAGAGGTTTATAAAGTCATGAGGGGCATAGATAAAGTGAATGGCAAATGTCGTTTCTCTAGGGTGGGGGATTGCAAGACTAGGGGGGCATATTTTTAAAGTGAGAGGAGAAAAATTTTAAAAAGACATGAGGGGTAATTTCTTTTGCACAGAGAGCAGTTCATGTGTGGAATGAACGTCCATAGGAAGTGATGGATGCGGGTAGAGTCACAACATTTAAAAGACATTTGGATAAGTGCATGAATAGGAAAGGTTTAGAGGGATATGGACCGGAGCAGGCAGGTGTGACTAAGTTAGTTTGGCCAGGTGGACTGGTTGGACTGAAGGGTTGTCTCCACGTTGTATAACTCTATGACTCTAAGTTAAACCTGTATACAAGACTTGTTTGGCCCCAGTTGGAATATTACATCTAATTCTGGGCATCACATTTTAGGACAAATATGAAGGCATTAGAGAGGGTGCAGAGAAGATTCACAAATGGTTCCATAGTTACATAGAAAGATTGAAAAATCTGGTCTCCTTGGAAAAGAGAAGTTTGGGAGGTTTGCTTGAGGTGCTCAAAATCATAAGGTTATTGATAGGGTAGATAGGGAGAAACTGTTCTTATTGTGGAAGAATAGAGAATTAGGGACACTGAATTAAGATATTTGGCCAAAAATGTAATGGCGACATGAGGATAAGCATTCTCAATCAGTGAGTTGTTAAGATTTGGACTACACAATCAGAATCAATTGTTGCTTTCAAACGGGAATTGGATCATTATCTGAAAAGGAAAAATAAATGCATGCCTATGAGGAAAAGGCAGGGGAGTGTCACTCGATGAAGCACTCCTTCAATGGGCCAGCACTGACAATGATGGGTTGAATGGCCTCTTTCTGCGCTGTAACCATTGAATTATGCTTTATTCCTATAATATTCTCATTGCTGCATGACCCCTAGTGGCAGAGATCAGCAGTAACTGGCGTTTGTGAAAAGATATTTCAATAACAGCATTGCTTATCTTGCCGACAGAAGGTGTCTTACCTTTTTTCACAGGAACACATGAGAAATCACCATGTCATTCGAACTCCAGATTGACACTTGATTACTGATTATCCTTTGCAACTTTCACATGCTATATAATTTCAGCCATTTGACAGAATCACTGAATCACAGATGTATTACAGCGCAGAATGCTACTTGCTCCATTATGTATTTTAAGGTAAAGTCATCAGATTCCTATTGGATCATAGGGCGGGTAGACAGAGAAAAAGAAATCATTAGTGGTGGTTTAACCTGAGATTCACCACATCTCAGGCGAGGGGTGAGATTGAGGAGAGTAAGCTCAGCTGGTGTGGGAATTGCACCCATACTGTTGGTATTGCTCTGCATCACAAACCAGCTGTTTGGCCAACTGAGCTTACCAGCTCCCAACAAGTGTCATGACTTAATGCCATTCTCTTACATTTTCCTCAAACCCTTTCACATTGCTTCTATTTAAACAATCATCTCTTGGATGCCTCAATTGACTCTGCCTTCATCACATTCCCAGGCTATGTAATCCAGATCCAAACGACTCGTGTGAATAAAGACTTTTCTCACATCACATTTGCAGCATTTGGAAATTAATCTAAATCTGTACCTTCTCAGTCTTGATTCTTTTGGGTGCAGAAACAGTTTCTCTTTCTGTTTCTACTCTACCCAGCACTCTCATGATTTTGAAAATATCTGTCGGAATTCCTCTGAGCCGCCTTCTGTCCAATTTGTCTTCATAATTGGTGTTCCTCATTCCTGGAACCATTCTTGTAAATGTCTCTGCATGCTCTCCAATGCATTCACATCCTTCCTACAATGTGGTACACAGAACTGTACACCATACTTCAGCTGAGGTCAAAAAAGTGTCTTGTACACATTCAGCATAATCTCCTTTCTCTTATACTCCACGTCTCTATTAATAAAGTTGAAAATACTGTATACTTTATAAAGTGCTGTTTCCACCTGTCAGGGATCTATGCACATATACACCATGGTCCTTCTGCCCGTGCACCCCTTAAGTATTGGTTTCTATTTCATATCTAACCCTCTTCTTCCAACCAAAATGCATCAACTCATGCTTCTCTGCATTGAACTTCATCTGCCACCATTCTGCCCACTCCAGCAACTTCTCTATTCTTTTGGAGTTCTGTAATGTTATTCTCACAGTTTCCAATGCTTCAAAGTTTCATATTATCCGGTCCAAATATTTAAATTGTCCCCTGCACTCCAAGATCTAGATCACTAATACATATCAGGAAAACTAGGATCCCAATACTGACCCCTGTTTCTTATCACTCAATCAATTTTATGTCTTCGATGTTATTGTTCACTTTTATTTCACAAGCTACAACTTTCTCACAAATCTGTTGTTTGGCTCAATATTGAATGCCTTTTCAAAGTCCATGCACATAATATGAATTCTCATTGAGCTTTTCTGTTACCTCTTCAAATAAAACAAACTCCAGCAAGTTAGTATAACCTATTTCAAGCAAAAATGATCTCCTTTCTGCAATAGTAAAGACTGGGAAGTGAGATTAATAGAATATTTTGAAATCTTTAACTTTTTTGACAGTACATTTAAATTACCTTGAGTCATAGAGGTTGAACTGATGCCATTTGGTCTATATTCCTCCATACCTATCCCATCCGTGTACAAATATTTCTTAAATGATGAAATTGTATTTGTCTGCATCGCTACTTCTGGCAGCCCATTCCAGGCACTCACCACCCTCTGTGTGAAAAACTACCCCTCTGCATCCTCTTGTATCTCTCCCCTCTCACCTTAAACCTATGCTCTCTAATCTTAGACTCCCCTACCCTGGGGAAAAGCTGTTGGCTGTCTGCCTTATCTATGCCTCTCATGATCTTACAGACCTCTACAGGGTCACATCTTTTTCTTTTCAAGTTTGTAGCTGCATATGAACCGATATCTTTCTAGTGTGTAATCCTAGTGAACATTCTTACTTGTTCACCCATGAGCACATTGACTTACATGGTTTCTTCAGTAATGCGTCCAATTTAAAACTCTCATATTTGTATTCAAATGGATCCTCCCACATTATCTCTGTAACCTCCTTGAGCCCTACGATCTCTCTGAGAACTCTGCTTTTCTCTAAACTCCAGTCTCATGATTGGCGGCTGTGTCTTTAGCCAGTTAGGTCCTACACTCTTATATTCCCATTATAAATCAACCTGCTTTCTACCTCTCTCTCCATCTGGAAGATGGTCCTTAAAACCAATCTTTTTGATCGTGCTTTTGTCCACTGCTCTCTAGATCAGTGCTGATTTTTCTTTCTGACTATGATTGTGAAGCAACATGAAATGTTGTATGTTAAAGGTGGTACATAAATGTAAGCTATTGCTGTTGAACATTGACTGCCAGTGACCTAATTAGTTGTGGAGAATATTACAATGAAGCACAAAATGTGCATAAGCCCTCATTTGGTGTCTACCAAAGAACAACAGGCATTTCTAGGTAGAGATGGCTCTTACTCTGGTTCTAAGATCAGTGCAATTGCAATCTCCTGCCCTGTGCATCACAGTCCCAGCTGAGATCTGTGCTGCTGGTGCAGATCTGAACCACAATGAGGTTTCACTCAGTTACCAATGTATTTCCAGGAAATGATATAGAGAGCTGAAACAGCTAATTTTAATATCTTCCTATGGAGGCAGTGTGAAATTACTTGTAACTTACAGTTCAGAGCTCGAGTCTGGAACCTCTCTACCATTTAAAGCTGAATTCCTTATTGCAAGGTACATTTAATTCTGCCTCCACCTCCGTAGCCATCAGAAGATGGAAGGAGTTGCTTTCTTAATTCAGATTTCTCTACAAATTAACTGAGAAATTACGACCTTTATTATTTTTGATGCTATTCGTTCTGAAAACTTAATGGAATAAAGTTTCACCATATTGCGTAGTGGAGATACATGAAGCAGGAGTTCAGAACTTGGGAGTGTTATCATTTAGGAATTATACAGGTTAGTTTTCAGAGAGAGAATTAGAGAAGCAATGCACATTTCAGTCGACACAAAGCTAAGTAGTATTCAGAAGTGTTCTGATTTTAGATGTTTTGATTGGGGATGATTTAATGAATACATGTTGGTATGGTTTGGAAAAGGTGCTGATATTTCTCATGTGGGAATAGAATACTGGTGCAAGACTTATGAAATGTTGTCAACCCTTAGCAATAGAAAACATGGGACTACTGAACAATCAACATGGCACTGCTTCTTTTAATAAGCTTAAATCAAATGTTAAAAATATCATCGCTTACTTCAGTCAAGAACGACCATCCTCAATTTATCAAAACTGTGATTTTAACCTTCAGTAGAAAATATCATTACAGATGTAAAAGCAAAAATAGTGCAGATTCTGGAAGTCTGAAACAAACACAAGAAGTGCTGGAGAAACTCAGCAGGTCTGGCAGCATCTGTTGAGAGAGAATCAGAGTTAACATTTCGAGTGTGATATGACTCTTCAGAACTCTTCTGAAGAAGAGTCACCATTACAGACATATCTTGAGAGAAAGGCAAAATAATGGGGAAGAAAATCACATAATGCATATTCTCTCTGAAACTCAAAATATATTGCATGTTTTAGTCATCCAAGCATCAAAGCCCATCAATTTTTGCAACTATTAATTCTTCTTCTTTACCATTAAGAAATGATGCATACTTTATTTCCCTTTTGCTTCTTTATTTGATTTTCCAATTTCTGACACCGTATCTAGTTTAACGTTTGAATAATTATGAACCACCTTACAAAGCAGTAACATGTATGAACAACTCAAGATGTCATTTCTGAGTTATCCTGCAGACAGGAACATAGTCTTTAAAAGGCTGAGATTCCTTCACGATGGTATTATCACAGCCTTTGTTACCTTTTGCTAATTGTTTTCTATGGCAATATCCTCCAGTTCCCCCATGACAATTAAGTCCAAATTATGGCCCTCTGGTTGCAACTGACTGCTCATTGCACTGCACCAAGTCACATCTTCCATATCTACTCTGCATCCAGTGTGAGAATCAAAAAGTGTTTCAATATATGGCTCATTTCCCTGAACCCCTGTGTGCCCCAAGTCAGTGTTCACCCATTCATGTAAAGGTTTCTCCTTGTCTTGCACATCCAGGAGAATTGCAGGTGCTGACATTTGAGATGGAGACCTGATGGATGATACAGAAGTTAAAGGAAAAGATAGAAATCCAGGATATAACACGTAGGAATTATTAAAAAAATCTAGCGATGTATTTTGACCTGTTGAGGGTATGGACACCTGGAAATATCTGTCAGTTTCTGGGTCGTACAGTGTCTTTGCCTGCACTTGAATTGGGATATCTACAAAAAAATATTGGCCAGATTCAGGATCTTGAAGCAATTTCCGTTGGCTTAGTGGAAATGAATGTACGGATGCAATGGGCTGCACGCTATTTAATGCCATGATGTTGGGTACTGCTGGAATTACACATGAATCTACTGGCTGTGTCGGTTCTGGAGAACAAACCGCGGGCGTTTGTGATATGGGGACGCGTGGGGGAGACACTGGTACAGTGGAGATAGTCGCTTTGGTTTCTGCGTCGTCAACGCTTGGCGTCTTCTGCCTGGCATCAGCCTTTTTTCTCCTGGTGGTCAGCTTCTTGGCTCGGCGTATTGCTTTTTCAGACTTTGGAGGTACAACGGGCGGTTTGCCCGCTGTTTTTGAATCTATACTACATGCTGACTCCGGCCGGGAATACATTGCTGCTGATCTTTCCACAGAAATCTCACGTTTGTCACCCTCTGGATTTCCTTCTGGCAGAAACAGGTTTGGTGCTTCCTTGACGGTATTGGCCTGTAGGTCCTCAGGAACCGACTCAGGGACAGTTGGCCTCACCCCTTTAGTTACTGGGGATGTTTTCGACACATTGTCTTTGATTTTAAAGAAACTAGGCCTCGGTGAGTTTGTACTCCCTCGTACTTCTTGCTTTGAAAAATTGTAGAACTTTTCTTCGCACGACATCTCCAAGGGACTACTGTCTTTCGTTCTATGCCCCGGTAAATCTCTTGCCATTTTCTCTTGTAGGTGACTTTGATATTCTGGAAGAGAGCTTTGATTCTCGGCTTTCCTCCCAGAATTGGATGCCCAGTCACTGAGGGCATAATATTGCAAGTCATTCTTTTCAGTATCTTTGCCCTCGTCAGCTGCAGGCCAACTATTCGAACAACTCCTCTTGGCATTGTCGCCCCTTTCAGCCATTAGATCAACCATCATACGTTGCGTATCTTGATAGCGGTCATCACCTAGGACAAAATAGGACTGGTTCGGCGATTTTATGTCCTGTGTGGCTTTCTCTTTGGCAGAATGGGAAGATATCCAATTGTTGGCCACATTCGCTTCCAACACTGGCCGACAGATGTCTTCTGCTTTTTGCAATGCCAACTTGTCATCTTGCTTTCTGAAATGATTTTCAGTTGGATAGCTAGCTCTGCCCCTGTGGCTGGATGAGGAACACTCTGGTTTTCTGCTGTGATGGAATCTGTTTTGCGTTTCGCCTGCCTTTTCTGGCATCGCCTGTGTTTCCTCTGGGCTTTCTCTTGCCAACGCTGATTTTTTCTGGAAGGTTGTGGGAGGGCAACTCGTTTCCTTCTTGTCAATGAGCATATTCGGCTGGTACGTACACTTTTTGTCCGAGCTTCTCTCTGCGTGAATTTCTGTCGTTATCATCGCCGATCGAGGCCTTGCATTTCTTGTTCGCCAACTGGGATGAGTTCTGGCCTCTTTAACTGTTTGTGGTGACCTTAAGTTAAGATAATCGTCATTTTTCCACGAGTCTGGCTCGGCTTTATGGATAACTGTAGCTTTACCGAGATGCCCAGACGTAGCAGTCACGTTTTTGGCATTAGGCATTTTATCTTGTTTTTCCTCTTCATTGGAATCCCCCATGTGGTTTTCCTTAATGTCTAGTCTTAAAGGTGCGGAAGATGTTCTTTCACTGGCTCGGTATATGTTTTGGTAAATATAATCCTTGTTCTTGCTTTGCTCAGAAAGGCTCTGACTTGCACCAGCATTAGAGTAGGTGGATTTCACTCGTTTTCTGACGTCTTTGAGGTTATAAAGCAGGCTTGATGCCTTGGATTTATAATTCTCACGCAAGTGGTAATCAGCACTTCCTTTAGCTTCATCTCCCTGACCCACAGGAAACTGAATGCCGGGAGGTGTCACTACAATTGTTGACCTGTCCGTCTCATTTGCATTGTGGACAATATTTGGTGTGAGAAGCTTTGAAATGCTGAAGGAGGGACTCTCTTCCCGAGGAAGTTGTTCAGTGTGTGTTGTAAGGTCAGCTGCAGGGTGGCATTCTGTAGAGCTCACTTCTCCACTCACAAGCTCTGTATCCATTTGCCTATTATGGCGTGGATTCCTCGAGCTTCTCCACAGCTGAAACCCCTTTCCCTCGTCCCCATTTTCTGTGGCACCACCACTAGTCTTTTTGGGTCCAACTACCTGCAAACTGTGGCGTTGCTTTGCATTCCCTTTGACACTACACTCAGACGGAACTGAATGAAAGTCTGAATCCTTGCTGCTGGGTGAACAGTTCACCGCTCTCTGAGCTTTGACTTCATTTGGAGATTGCACTGTTCCCAATGAACACACCTTTCTACAACTGAACGTATTGCCAGCGCACAGGTTTTGTATTTGTGCACTGGACTGAAGGTTAACAGTAAGTTTCTCAATATGATCATCCTCTTCAAACAGAAACTTACTGTGATCATGCCAGGATTTGAATGCACTGCACTCACTGTGCAGGAAGTTGCTCTTTGGATCGGGTTTCTTCACTTTGCTGACTACTTCAGATAAACCTTTGTCTGCCTTTTTATTCGAAAGATTGGGAATTGCCACATCAGTGAAGTGGCCTTGCTTTCTGTACTGTGCAGTTTTCATGTAGCTCAAAGGATTGTTTTTGTTGCCTTTTCCTGGTAGAATTTGCTTCTTATTTGCCCAATACTTTTCTTGACAAGCTACAGAAAAACTAGATTTCTCTTTGTGCAAGTTGATGATAGCTGAAGAGTCCCATTGTGCAATGTCCTTATTATCACTGTCCCCTGGTAATTCAGGATGTCCACTCACAGTATCTTGTTTTGCACTCGCCGTGATATCTCCTGGGAAATCATTATCACTTTGATCAAAAGCTTCGATCAGGGAAGAGAGTTTTGACTTTTGCTTGGCCGAATGCTGGCTTGATCCAACAGTTTCGCTTGAGAAGCCAGTTACTGAGCCACGTTTAGCATCGTTTTTTTCGACAGAACACTGGACTGTTGATTCCTGGAATGTGTCAGGTAATTCTTTTGGTTGTTTTTGGATTATCTTCGATGATTTATTACAGTGTTGCAATACACCCGTACAATGCTTGGCCTTGTCTGAACTTGGCAGGTCACTTGTCTGACTCACACTGACAGCCGACGGTGAGCTGGGAATATCCACATCATTACAGATTCCTCCTTCTGCAACACACAAGCTCTTAAAAGCACGCTCTGTAAGTCTACTTACTTCTCTGTCTGTCTCATCCAAAATGCTTCCAGCGCTCGACGTGTCACTAAAACCATCGACGTGCTTAGAACGTCCTTGCATGATCCTTGTTTTTGCTGTACCCCAGTTATCCAAAAAGTCCATAATACTGGGCTGCTCACCAGAATCTGTCTTACTGACACACACACATTCAATTCTACTCTCCTTTGGGATTCTAAAACATTTGGCTTCGGTCTTAAGATTTCTGGAGCTTCTTCATTCTTCATCCATTCAGATACCAAGTCATGAAAGAAATGCTTCTTTCCTATGCAAAGAAAAATACAGTTATTCCTTTTTGAAAGCTTTATCTTTTTGGGCATTATAGCAGTGAATAAGACTTGTACAATTTGGCACTGCAACTTATCATTTGTACTCTTATTAAGTAATACTACAGTGCAGATCTTGCAAGTATTCAGATAATGAGATATAGAAAACAAAAAACTACAAATGTTGTAAATGTAAGGTATAATTCAAAATATTGGAGGCATACTGCTGGTTAGGCAGCATTGGTTGACAGAATATGGCCAATATTTCAGCACAGAACACTTCCTCAGAGTTAAAGCTCATTACAGATGAACAGCATTTAAAATTGAACAGACAAGGTGAAAGCTTCGGGAGAAGAACACATACTGTCTACCCATACAATGAAATCAATAGAATAACCTGTAAAGATTAGGAATTAAACATTTACCTCATTTTCATTGAACTTGTTGGAAACTTCATTTTTTTTTCACAGAACTTCAGTTCAGGAATGATCAAAGACATTTGTCCTTTTGAGGTCATTTCAACAAAGCAAAAGACTCACTGTGGCCAGATACAAACCTATCCACATTTGCTTCTGCTACATTTTCAGAAACTGCATATATATTCTGTGCCTGTGCGCTTCCCCCCACTTCACCAGTCAAAGGAGGAACGCTCCAAAAGCTTGTGATTTTAAGTAAACCCGTTGGACTATTACCTGGTGACTTTGTCCACCCCAGTCCAACACCAGCATCTCCACATCATATTCAACTACTGACTGATATTGTAACATATTCTGCATTTAGATCTTGGCCCTGCTAAGGAGGTTTAATCCTAACACATGGTTTCTTGATCTTACCTTTATCCACCCTCCTCACTGAAATCATCCCTGACTTTAACTTTCTCACCTATTTTCCTTCCCCACTCTCCTCCAACATTGCCACCAATGGCAGGGTTGCCACCTTGCCTGGTCACTGGTGTATTGAGGAGTCAGTGCACACAAACTAGTCAATTTTGTTAACTTGCACTCTCTACTCCACATTAAACTGGAGACATTTATATGGGGATAGGTCAAATCCATTGTAAGAACATTTGAAGAAATACGTCACATTCTTAATTGGAAACAGAGTGATATACTGAGAATTTCTTCGATTCAACAGCCTGACTGACTTCTGTTTAGTTTCAGTTGCTTTGCATAAATTATTACAGTTTATATAACTCATTACAATTAATATAATTGTAATTAAAAATGTTATTAATTTTTTATTAACAGATATTGACAACTTGCTTTACAATGTTCAACAAAAATGTTTTTTTGCTATTGTTGTCTGATTTAGGAGTTGCATTCAGTTCGACCGAACTTGCCTTGAATAGCAGAAAGCATGTTGTAATTTTTAATTTGTTATATATATAATAATATATTAATGAGTATGTTAATCTATCCTTGCTCATTTGATGTTAAAAATGTATGTATAAAAGGAGAGTGGAGAGCTGAATCTGTGGTTACCTTGGATTCATAGACAGATCTATGATTTTATTTTAATTTACTCATGGGATGCAGGCATCACTGGGTGAGCCAGCATTTATTGCTCATCCCTAGCTCCCATTCAGAGGGTGGTGGTGAGCTGCCTTCTTGAACCAGTACTGCCCATATGCTGTAGGTACGTCCCAAAATGCCGTTAGCGAGGGAGCTCCAGAATTTTGATTCAGCGACACTGAAGGAAAGACAATATATTTCCAAGTCAGGATGGTGAGTGGCTCAGAGGGGAATTTGCAGGTGCTGGTGTACCTTTGTATCCGCTGCCCTTGTCCTTCTAGATGACTATTAGTGAGATTGAAAGATACTACCTAAGGAGGCTTAGTGAATTTCTAATGTGCATCTTGTAGATAGTACACTGACTGAGTGTTGGTGGTAGAGGGGGTGGATGTTAGTGGATTTGGTGCCAGTCAAGCAGGCTGCTTTGTCCTGGATGGTATCAAGCTATTTGAATGTTGTTGGAGTTGCATTTCTCCATGCAAGTGGGAAGCATTCCACCACACTATTGATTTGTGTCTTGTAGATTGCGGATAGGCTTTACAGAGTAAGGAGGTGAGTTATCCGCTGCAGAATTCCTAGTTTCTGACCTGATCTTATAGCCCCGTATTTATATAATGAGTCCAGTTCAGTTTCTGGTAGCGGTAACCCTCAGAATGTGATAGTGAGGGATTGAGTGATGGTAATGCCATTGAATGTCAAGTGGCAACGGCTAGATTCTTACTTGTTAGAGATGGTCATTGTTTGGCATTTGTGTGGTGCGAATGTTACTTGACACTTTTCAGGCCAAGTCTGGAAATTGTCCAGATCTTGCTGCATTTGGACATGGACTGCTTCAGTATCTGCTGTACCCTGAAAAAAAGGCATGGTATAGAACCTGACGTAAAACAATTTTAACAAAGTTACATGTATATAGTTCATGAAATCAATTAGTCTATAGGTAAGGTGAACTTATAATAGATTTGATTTTGTCCTAGAAGTAATACTGGAATATTTGAATATTTTTTAATCACAAATTGCTTTCTTATAAATCCTGAGAGTTAATTCTGTGGTTTATGCAAAGAGTCCCATCTCCAGGAAGCACAGATAGGAGGTAGGGGCTATAACATTGCAGCCCTATCTCTAACCTCTGGGCTCTTTGGCCGCAGTTTCCACACCATGAGTCCTCAATTGGCCCATTTACTTTTGCCTTTAGAAGAACCTGTTTATTATAAGAGTTTTATCCCAGAGTACTGGCTCCTATCCAGTAGCTAATTGGAAAGGCTGATGACTGGTGCAGAGCTTGACAATAAGTGATGAGTTAGCTAAGCTTGTAGAGGGTGGTACAGTGATTTGACATATGCCGTTTTGACAACAATAAGTGAGAGATGCTTATATTGTCAAATTGATGCTACAACTTTCTATATCATTCACCCCATCTCTAGTTAAACATGTGGAGACCCAGACTCTTTCCATTTTAACCGCGTTGGTATCACAGACTAACATCCATCTTCAACATTTATGTGGTTGATGTTAGTTAAACTAGACGTGACCTGCTTTTAAGGTAGCCCTGGTAATGAGAAACTTATATATAGAAATAATCTATATAGAAATAAATATAGAATATAGAATAAAGATTGGTCTTGAAACTTCAAGTGATGTGGCTGTGACTATTTCCTTTGGCAAATTGTTCCATTGTTGGATTGTCTTTGGGAAAACAGGTTGTTGATACACTGTCTTGGAAACAGATGGCTTTTCTGGCTTGTCTGAATGGCAATCTTGTGCTCATTGCTTCTGTCAAATTCCTCCAGTCCATTCCATAGTTTATAAAATACAATCAATCTGTTTTCTTTCCCCCTTTGTTGCAGTAATTCCCATTTCAAATCTTTGAGTATACGGCAAGGGTTAAAGATCATGGTAAACCATGGTACATTGTTAACAAAGTAAGAAAGAAAGGCTTGCAATTAATAGTATGCCTTTCATGTTCTCTGCCTTTTCAAGACTCTCCAGAACCAACAAACTACTCTTAAAGTGCGCTCATTGTTGCTACATAGGAATGGCAGCATCCAAGAGCAAAGCTCTTGAAACAGTGAATTAGCAGATGACCTGTTTTCTGATGTTGGTGATTGAGGGAGGAACATTAGAACATTGGCTAAGTCATTGGAATAGCTTGCCACTTTTCTTTGAACTGTTCCATGTGATCCACGAAGGCCACTTGACAAGGTGGATGTAGTCTCAAGTCAACAATTGTTAGTTGTACTTTACAAACTGACAGAATACATACATCATAATTTTCTAAAGAACACATGCTAGGGCTAATTCATGATATTCAGAGCCAAAAAGAGATAGCATCTAGCCAATCATCTCCTCTCCCTAATTTTCGAGTATGGTAGCCAATAGTACCATTCCTATTTGTCTCTCAACTGATATCCACCAAATTAAAATCCATCAAGATGAATTTGATTGAACAGGGACTATCTAGTGTAAGCTGCTCATGGTCAAGAAGCGAGAGATCACATTTGGAAGGACACGCAGCCCGAATGAATGTATAGTTTGTGGAATTTAGAGGCAACATAGGAATTCGGTGCAGAAGGGGAGAGGTGCTTTGTGCTTGCTTATTTTTGGCACAAAGTTTGTAAGTTGTTTTGAACAGGATTAAATTGAAACCCAGGATCAGGGGCGCAGCACAAAGGAGTGACATCAAAGGCCATCCGTAAATTCATTGGTTGGTAATAGCTACCAGTTTGACCATCTATCATAGGCTACTTTCAGATTACAGGCTACTAACTAAAAGAACAGTAGGAATTAAAAATGAAGTAATTAAAATAGAGATGTCAGGCCAGGCGATGTGTTGTAACTGCATGATGGGGGAGCTGGTGGAACCCAGTGTGGTTCATATTGACCACGTCTGTAGCAAGTGCTAGTTGTTTGAGAAACTCTGGCTCTGAGTTGATGAGCTGGAGTCTGAGCTTCAAACCCTGCGACGCATCAGGGAGGGGGAGAGTGACCTGTGTTTCAGAAAGCAGTCACATCCCTTAGATTGAATCCCTTGTATTCTGTCAGTGGTCAGCTACAGGAGGGTGTGACTACGAGCGAGACAGGTAGAGGGATCCAGGAGGTAGTACTGAAAGAGCCTCAGCCTTTGAGCTTTTCTAACAAGTTTGAGATTCGTACTCCCTGTGTAGGTGAGAGTGGGGCGGTAGGGATGATCAGCAAACTGACCGTAATCCCATGGTACATGGAGCCATTCAAGAAGGGTCAGAAAAGAGAAATGTAGCTGTAATTGGGAATAGTGCAGTCAGGGGAATAGATACTGTTCTCTGTGGCCAGGATTGAGAATCCTGAAGGCTGTGTTGCTTGCCTGGTGCCTGGAATCAGGATATCTCATCTGGGCTGCAGAAGAACTTGGAGTGGGAGGGGAAAGATCTAGCTGTTGTAGTCCATGTAGGTACCAATGATATCGGTAGAAAGAGGAAAGAGGTTCTGCTAAGGTAATATGAGCAGTTAGGGGCTAAATGAAGAAGCCACACCAAAAAGGTAACAATCTCCAGATTACTACCTGAGCTATGAGTTAATTGGCACAGGGTCAACAAGATTGAAGAGGTAAATGTGTGGCTCAAAGATTAGTGTGGAAGAAACTGGTTCATATTGGGACATTGGCTGCAGTACTGGGGAAGGAGGGAGTTGTTCTGATGGAATGGGCTCCACCTGAACATACTGGGACCAGAGTCCTGGTGAACTGCATAACCAAGGCTGTGAATAGGATTTTAAACTAAATATTTGTGGGGGAGAGGGAGTGGTGGGGGTGGGGGTAGGTTCAGTTGCATGGAAAACTATGGAAAAAGTTAAAGATCGGAAGAGCCTAGCAGAGGTTATTAAAGCTTCCAGAACAAATAATTGGACACAGGAAAGGGGAAGGTATCTAATTTCAGATACAGCAAATGAGGGGACAACTGTGAGAAGCGGGGAGACAGTAAACACAGGACTGAGGGTATTGTACTTAAATGCACATAGTATATGAAACAAGGTACATGAACTTGTAGCACAGATTGAAATTGGCAGGTACAATGTTGCATCACAGAGACGTGGCTGCAAGGGATCAGGGCTGGGAACTAAACATCCAAGAATACACATCCTATTGAAAGGACAGGCGGATGGCCAGAGAATACATGGTTGTCTTCTTAGTAAGAAATGAAATTAGATTGACAGCAAGAAGTGACATAGATTTAGAAGGTGTAGAATCTGTGAGGGTAGAGTTAAGGGACCAGAAAGGAAAAAAATACCCTGATGAGAGTTTTGTACAGGCCTCCTAGCAGGATGTGGGGAAGAAAATAAAGGAGGAGGTAGAAAAGGCATGTAAGAAAGGGACTATTACAGTAATCATGGGGAACTTCAATATGCAGGTGGACTGGAAAAATCAAATTAGCAGATCTCAAGAAAGGGAATTTGAGGAGTATCTATGAGAATGTCTATGGAGCAGTTTGTAGTAGAGCTCACAAGGGAATTCTGGATTTGGTGAGGTACATTGAGGCATACTTGATTAGGGAGCTTAAGGTGAAGGAACCTATAGGGTGCAGTAACCATAATATGATAGAAGTCACCCTGCAGTTTGAGAGGGAGAAGATTGAATCAGATGTAACTATATTACAATTGAGTAAAGGTAACTGCAAAGACATGAGGGAGCAGCTGGCCAGAGTTGATTGGAAGGAAAGCCTATCAGGGAAAATGGTGGAGGAGCAATTGCAGGGGTTTCTGTGGGTAATTTGGGAAGCACAGCAGAAATAAGTCCCAAGGAAGAAGAAACATATTAAGGGGAGGATGAGGTAACCGTGGCTGACAAGGGAAATCCAGGATAGCATAAAAGCAAAAGAAAAAGCATACAATATGGTGAACATTAGTAGGAAGCAAGAGAATTGGAAAGCCTTTAAAAACCAGCAGAGGATAACTGAAGAAGCAATAAAGGGGGGAGAAATGAAATATAAGAGTAAATTAGATTGTGATAAATATGAAGATTGCGTTAGTATTTTTTGGATACCTAAAAGGTAACAGAGAGGCAAGAGTGGATATTGGACCACTGGAAAACGAGACTGGAGAAGTAGTAATGGTGAACAAAGAAATGGCAGAGGAACTGAATAGGTACTTTGCATTAGTTTTCACAGTGGAAAATTTCAAGAGAGTCAGGGAGCCAAGGTGAGTGTTGTGGCCATCACTAAGGAGAAGGTGCTGGGAAGCTAAAGAGTCTGAAGGCAGATAAATTGCCCAGATTGGATGGACTACGCCCCTGAGTTCTGAAGGAGATAGCTGAGGATGTTGTGGAGGCATTAGTGGTGATCTTTCATGAATCACTGCAGTCAGGGAGGGTCCCAGAGGACTGGAAAGTGGCTAATGTAACACCCCTATTTAAGAACGGAGGGAGGCAGAAGGCAGGAAACTGTGGGCCAGTTACCCTGATGTTGGTCCTTTGGTAAGATTTAAGAATCCATCATTAAGGATTAGATTGCAGAGTACTTAGAACTGCAAGGTAAAACAGGGCAGAGTCAGCACAACTTTGTCAAAGGGATGTCATTGCCTGACAAATCTGTTAGAATTCTTTGAGGAGGTAATGAGCATTTTAACAAAGGAGATCCAGTGGATGTGATCTATTTGGATTTCCAGAAGGTCTTTGACAAGGTGCTGCACAGGAGGCTGTTAAATAAGATAAGACCTATGGTTTTAGGGGCAATGTTCTGGCATGGATAGAGGATTGGCTGACTGGCAGAAGGCAGAGAGAGAGTGGAGATGGAGAGGTCTTTTTCAGATGGCAGCCAGTGACTAGTGGAGTTTCATATGGGTCAGTGTTGGGACCGCAACTATTCATATTGTGTATTAACGATCCAGACAAAGGAACTAGAGGGCTAGAATACAAGAACTGAGATGTACTGCTGAGGCTGTATAAGGCTCTGGTTAGACCACATTTGAAATATTGTTAGCAGTTTGGGCCTCGTATCTAAGGAAGGATGTACTGGCCTTGGAGGGGGTCCAGAGGAGGTTTTACAAGAATGATCCTAGGGATGAAGGACTTGCCTTCTTGAAATGAATGTTAACATTGCATTTGCCTTCCTAATAGCCAGCTAAACCTGCATGTTAACCTTAAGAGAATCCTGAATTAGGATTCCTAAGTCCCTTTGTGCTTCAGATTTCTGAAGACTTTCCCATTTAGAAAATAGTCTACACTTCCCTTTTTCCTACCGAAATGCATAACCACACACTTTCCCAACATTGCCTTCCATCTGCCGCTTCTTTTTCCACTCTCCAAGCCTGTCCAAGCTCTTCTGCAGCCTCCCCACTAATAGTGTCATAGAATCATAGAGATGTACAGCACAGAAGTTGACGCTTTGGTCCAACTTGTTCATGCCGACCAGATATCCTAAATTAATCTAGTCTCATTTGCCACCATTTGGCCCATATCCGTCTAAACCCTTCCTATTCATATACCCATCCAAATGCCTTTTAAATGTTGTAATTGTAACAGCTTCCACTGCTAACTGTGGCAGCTCATTCCAAACACACACCCTTAGGTCCCTTTTAAATCTTTCCCCTCTTACCTTAAACCTACGCCCTCTAGTTTTGGACTCCCCTACCCAGGGGAAAAGACCTTGATCATTCTCCCTATCTATTCTCCTCATGATTTCGTAAACCTCTATAAGGGCACCCCTCAGCCTTTGATGCTCCAGGGAAAATAGTGCCAGGTTATTCAGCCTCTCCTTATGGCTCAAACCCTCCAACCCTGGCCATAGACTTGCACATCTTTTCTGAACCCTTTCAAGTTGAACAGCATCTTTCCCATAGCAAGGAGATGCTATTGTCCCTCCACCTGTCTTTGTGTCACATGCAAACTGAGCAACAATGCCCTCAGTACCTTGATCCAGATGTTTAATATTCCTGTCTGAAACCACAACAAATTGCGTAACCTCAGCTGGGGTCCCGTTGTAAGAATGGCTGTTAACAATAGAAATGTGAAGGATAATTTGAATAGTAATTAGAGTGCCATATGCCTAATGCATTTTAGCATAAACATATTTATTTGATGTACTTGAATAAAATATTTATACATCAGTTTCATAATATTAAAATACTTCTTTTCAGTTTACTTATGAACAGGTTGTATTCACTACATATTTCACACAGGCACCCGATCAAAAATTTGTGTGTGAAACGTATCTGAAATATAAATTGACTTAAGTGTTTTAACACTGTAAAATGTCTGTTATCAAACTTATCTCCGTATCGTGAGATATCAAGAATTGATTGAATTAATTGAAATGCTTGAACTCAAACAGGGATTGTCTGCTGACAACAGCCCTACCAGCAGAAGGCAGAGTGGACCACAAAGTATAGGATCTCCTGACTAACTACTACTTACTGAAGTGTCAAAGTACTGGACCGTCTGAAAAATATTTGAGAGCATATTGTCTGAAACTGAATCCATGCCACCCCTGGATCATGCTTTGGTAACACTGATACATTGCATGTAATGAAAAGAGTTTGGAACAGGTGCGTCAGGATCCCCATGCAGTCTCCTGTGGCTGCTTCTGTTTAGATCTCCTCAATGGGTAGATCAGAGATTTAAATTATTCTGTAAATGTGGGTCCTGCAGGAATTTTAACCCTTTCCCTTGCAGGCCACCGTCCTTGTGAGTTGCTGGTCTTTTCTCAGATCAGCTACAGGCAAGTTCAACTCTTGTTGCTTGAAAACAAGAACTCAGGTGCAATGTTCTGGTGGCTTTGCAAATAAACTGTGATTTACTGTACCTGTATTCTTCCTTTAGTGCCTCTATTCGCAATGACTGAATTTTGGTAACAAAGAAAGATACAAATTAAGGCAAATTTGGCAAGAAGCACGGAGAAAAAGTGTGTTATTGTGCCAATGAGAGCCATTAATTCCTCATTCATTGATGCTTCCTCTAGCGAGGTCAAATGAGCAAGCTACTCGTGCCTTCCCCTGAGATGAAAAACTAAGCTCAGCCTGGTAGATATTCATGGTGGTTGGCATTGTCATTTCATGGACAACCACCAAGAGCATTCAGAGTCTGTTAAAACACAGCTGAGTTAAGACACAGAGGTCAGGCTTTGAGCCTGGAACAACTAAACTTTGCAAAAAGCACAAAAATTGAGACCATATTTTTATTTTCAGATTTATCAATTAATTTTCCAATTGTAATTAAAAACATACACCTGTCAATAATGTCCTAATGGTCACTTTGAAACAGATGAGTAATTTGTGTTTCAATTATAGTCGAATAATAAATAGCACACATTCATACATGACAGACGATAAGTTTCTCCTTAAACGTACCTGCTGTGTCAGCTGTACTGGTAGAGCTTGTGTGCATTCCGACCAGGTTCCTGTACATTTAAAGCCTCCTGTCCCACCTTCATTTGGTCTCATTGCTGCCCATCTATAGCGAGAAGTTAAATTTAGTGCAATGAACTAGATCCTTTGCTAGTAAAACTTTGATTAAGCATAGCTGTAACCTTCAGCAATTTTGACATTACTTGAACTTTCTCAGTCCATGGAAAGGGACCAAGCCAGAAATGCTGATTGTAAACTAATACACTAGACAAAGAATATTAAACTGCTGATCTTCCAAATTTTTAATGTACTGTAAATATATTAGCTTGTCCCTGATATATTTGACAATTCGATGTAAGGGCAGCTTCAAAATAGAAGACACAGCAGAATTTGCTTTTGTTAAAAGTAAATTATGGTTTTCTACCCCCTTGTGTTTCCCCTTTTGTTCTTCTAAAAGGCCTGCCTCAAGCTGAGCAGCGGCCACACAAATTGCAGGACACCCTTTCGTCCCATGCATGTGCTGAAGCTGTCAGTGCGGCAGCCTGTACAAAACAGAACAATATCACAGTCAAGCTGAGTCCTGTCTTTAACTGATGAATGCGCATACTCACTGTTTTTGGCAGGATGCCCACTGTGACTGGGATGCACAGCTGGATTACATCCCTGTGCTAACGCTACTGCTGTTCTGCCTGACCTTTACTAACCCCGCACTGATCGAATCTGGGAACATTCTGATCGCAAGGTCTCCATTGTAATTGAATGAAAAGCTAAGAAATTGCTGACTCCAAGATAGCAGCGTTAATGCTAAGTAGTGTATCGTTGCACTTAGCTCATCCAGTGATGTAACTGATTTTTTGGTATGATTTACACTGCATTTTCTACTCTGAAAAAGTGACAGCGGGAGTATAGAGATGGGATGGACATGTTCGGTTGTAAGTAAGCATTCTCAAATGGCTGAATTGGTTTGTATTAGATTGTATGAGTCATGCAGTTATACAGCACGGAAACAGACCACCACTTCCTCTGGAAGTTCATTCCACACATGAACCATTCTTTGTGTAAAAAAGTTGCTCCTCATGTATTTTTTAAGTCTTTCCCCTCGCACCTTAAAAATATGCCCCCTAACCTTGAAATCTCCCACTTCAGTGAAGAGACACCTGACATTCGCATTATCTATATCCCTTATTATTTTATAACTCTGCTGTAAGGTCATCTTTCAACCTCCTATGCTCCAGTGAAAAAATTTCCAGCCTATCCAGTCTCTTCTTATAACTCAAACCCTCCATTCCAGGCAACATTCCTGGTAAATCTCTTCAGAACCCTCTCCAGCTTAATAATATCCTTTCTATTACAGGGAGACCAGAACTGGTCTGAGACTGGTTCATGTTAATGAAACATTCAACATCTTAGATGCTATCAACAGGGCATAGAGTATAAGAACAAGGAGATTCATAGAATCCCTACACTGTGAAAACAGGCCATTTTCCCAACGTGTCCACACCGACCCTCTGAAAAACATCCCATCCAGACCCATCCCTGCAACCCTGCATTTCCCATAGCTAACACACCTAACCTACACATCCCTGAACACTATGGGCAATTTAGCATGGCCAATCCACCTAACTTGTACATCTTTGGGCTGTGGGAGGAAACTGGAGGAAACCCATGCAGACGCGGGGAGAACATGCAAACTCCACACAGACAGTCGTCCGAGGGTAGAAGCAAACCTGGGTCTCTGGCGCTGCGGGGAAGCAGTGCTAACCACTGAGCCACCGTGCTGCTCATGTTGATTATGTTGAATATATATATAACACTGGTTCATCCTCAGCTGGAATATTGTCAGTTCTGGGCACCCTACTTCAGGAAGGCATTGGAGAGGTTGAAGAAGTAATAATTTGCTACATGGTTAGTGGCAGGATTCTCGGCAGTGTGGAGGAATAGAGGGATCTTGGGGTCCACGTCCATAGATCCCTCAAAGTTGCTACCCAAGTTGATAGGGTTGTAAAGAAGGCATATGGTGTGTTGACTTTCATTGGCAGGGGAATTGAGTTTAAGAGCCGTGAGGTTATGTTGCAGCTCTATAAAACTCTGGTTAGACCACACTTGGAATATTGTGTTCAGTTCTGGTCACCTCATTATAGGAAAGATGTGGAAGCTTTGGAGAGGGTGCAGAGGAGATTTTCTGGGATCCTGCCTGGACTGGAGGGCAGGTCTTATGAGGAAAGGTTGAGGGAGCTAAGGCTTTTTACATTGGAGCGAAGAAGGATGAGAGGTGACTTGATAGAGGTGTACAAGATGATCAGAGGCACAGACAGAGTGGATAGTCAGGGACTTTTTCCCAGGGTGGAAATGACTATTACGAGGGGGCATAATTTAAAGGTGATTGGAGGAAGGTATAGGGGAGATGTCAGAGGTAGGTTCTTCACACAGAGAGTGGTGGGCGTGTGGAATGCGCTGCCGGCAGTGGTAGTGGAGTCAGATACTTTAGAGACTTTTAAGCGACTCTTGGATGGGCACATGGAGGATAGTAAAATGTAGGGTATGCAGGGTATTTCGATCTTAGTAGGATAATAGGTCGGCACAACATCATGGGCCGAAGGGCCTGTACTGTGCTGTACTATTCTATGTTTTACGTTCTTAACCCAGTCCGAGATGAGCAAAAAATGGAACAATCAAAAGGACAAAACCATTGTCCCTGCTACAAACTTTCTTCCTTGGTTCTCAGACCCATCCCCCTTCCTGGCTATTGTTTCATGCTGAACCTTGACATCATTATTGGACTGTAAATCAAAAACATAGTAACAGGCTATTCAGCCCATCAAATCTGCCCCACCATTCCTGGATCATAGCTGATCATCCCTTCAACAACATTTTCCTGCATTATCTTTGTAACATCATTACTGTCATTTGCCTCTAGCAGCCTATTGATTTCTATCTAGAAACTTCGCAGGTTGAGCTTCTACAGCCCTTTGGATTAGAGAATTCCACAATTCACCACCCCCTGAGTGAAGAAGTTCCTCCTCATCTCAGTCTTCAATAGCCTATGCTGGATCCTGAGATTGTCCCCTGGTTCTAGAGTCACTAGCCAGGGAAACATCTTAATCTATATCTACCCTGTCATACCCTTTAAGAACTTCGTAAGTTTCATCGAGATCACCTTTCATTCTTCAAAACAGGAGAGAATACCGACCAAATCTCCTCAATTTCTCCTCATGAGCCAGTCCCATCATTACAGGTAATAATCCGTTAAATCTCTATTGCACTCCCTCCATGAAAAGTTATATACTGTGTACAAAACTGTACAAAATCCTCTAATGCAGCCTCACCAAGGCTCTATACAACTTTAGCAAGACATCTTTATGCAAGTCCCCTTGAAGTGAATGCCATCATAATGTATGTATGCCTTTCTAATTGTTTGCTGAAACTGCATGCTCGCTTTGCAGAATCGTGTATAAGGACATCTAAATGCCTTTGAAAACCTACACTTCCCAATCATTTTCATTTCCATTTTGTCAAGCATTATTTTTCCTTCATAGATCCATGTTGACTATGCGCAATGTTGTATTTACTTTCCAAATATTCGGTTACTGCATCATTTATAATAGACTCTAACAATTTCTTTATATGGAAGTCAAGCTAATAAGTCTGTAGATTACCACTCATAAATCATGCTACTTTCCAATTATCAGGATCTTTACAAAAATCTATAGAATTATGGAAGATAAGTAGAAAAACATCCATTATCTCCATTGGTATTTCCTTTCAACAGTCTGGGAAGAAGCTCATCTGTTCCAGATAATTTACCCTTGATCCACATAATTTTCCAAGTGCTACTTCTGTATTGATAATAATTTATTTTAGCTCTTCAGTTACACAAGTCCCTTGGTTGCCCAGTATTTCAGAGGTAAATTAACCATATAGTTTCTCTGCCATTTTCCTGTTCTTCATAACTTCTCCTATCTCCACCTGTAATTTGGCCCACAATTGTGGAGCAGAAGGCATGCCCCTGTCTGCATCAAGGGTGCTGAGGTGGAGATGGTCAAAAGTAACAAGTTCCTGGGAGTAATGGTCACCAACAATCTGTCCTGGTCCACCCACGTTGACACTATGGTCAAGAGAGCACAGCAATGCCTCTACTTCCTCAGGAGGCCAAGGAAATTCAGCATGTCTATAAAGACTCTTAAATTTTTTTATAGATGCACCATAGAAAGCATCCTATCCGGATGCATCACAGCGTGGTATTGCGACTGCTGTTCCCAAGACTGAAAGAAACTGCAGAGAGTTGTGACCACAGCCCAGATCATCATGCAAACCAGCCTCCCATCCACTGACTTCATCTATACTTCCTGCTGCATCTGGAAGGCAACCAACATAACCAAAGATCCCTCCCAGCCTGGTTATACTCTCTTCCACCCTCTTCCGTTGGGCAGAAGGTATAAAAGTTTGTATACGCATATGAACAGATTCAAGAACAGTTTCTCCCCACAGTTATCAGACTTTTGAATGGATTTCTTTAAAGTTAATGCTGATCTTTCTCTGCACCTTCTCTGCGGCTGTAACATTGTATCCTGCACTCTGTTCTGTTTCCCTAATGCACTCGTATACTATGATCTGCCTGTAAAGCACATAAGACAACACTTTTTACTGTACCTCAGTACATGTGACGGTAATAAATTAAATCAAATCAAGTTATCCTTGTTAATCTTTTTCCCTTCACATTATGATAGTAGAGTTTTGCATTTCCTAGTTCACATTTATGTTCTCTTTTCCCTTACCATATTATTTTTCTGGTCCTCCTTTGTTCAGTTATGATCCAGGGTTCAGGTTTATCACTGTTTCTAGCATTCTTATAAACCACTTCCTTGATCTTATCCAATCTTTAACTTCTTTCACTGATACACCTTTTCCAGTGGGTGTTTGTGTTGTACAGGAATTAAGATCAGTTGTAGGCCTTGCAGTATTTTTTTTAAATATTAGCCATTGTTTGTCTACCGTCAAATTTTTTTACAGCAGTTTCCTAAGCTATTTTAGGTAATTTGCCCCATACAACTTCATAGCTTCCTTTGCTCAGATTAAAGACGTTATTTTCAGAAGGAAATATGTTGT